CATTCCTGCCCCCCTCCTCCCCCCTTCCTCTAACTTAGAATATTGTAAAATAACTTTTGTGTATTACTCTAATATATTAAATTTTTAATCTATATTACTATTCTTGAGGTTATCATAGAACAGAATATAATAATAAATTGGCTGACTCCATTATATCATAAATATAATAGGCATGAAGTCACATGACTTTCAGAATCAGTCACATGATGTCTAAATTATAATAAATAGAGTTGGAATTCCTACTGGATTCCCACCGGAATCATATGGGAATAGAGTAGGAAAGCAGTCCTACCATATTCCCCCAGGACTGCAGCCGGAATGCCAGACTTTACCCGGACTACAGTGGGATTCCGGTGGGAATACATGGGGGAGAGTTAAGTACAGACGGGATAGGGGATTTACCTATTAGTTTGTAGGCAGAATGCCCTCATTGGGATGTTTGTTGACAGATATTTACCAATAGCTTTGACCCATGTGTAGTATATGCCTTGGGAAAAGTGTTACACTTTTTTCTGCCACACCTGATGTCAGGCACAGTGCACATTTAGGTTAGGAACTGTTTCACATGCTTTGGTTATACCACATACACCCTGGGTCTTGAAAAACATTCCTATCCCACCAAGATTATTCTCAGAAGTATGTAAAATCATCAAGACAAAGATAGATGCTGGGGTTTATGAACCTTCAAATTCATCTTATAGATCACAGTGGTTTTGCATATTAAAGAAAGATGGAAAAAGCTTGAGAATTGTACAAAGTCTAGAACCTTTGAATGCAGTCACAATAACACACTTGGGTTTACCACCTGCAACAGATGCACTTGCAATGTATTTCTTGGGTCATGCATGTGGAGGCATGTTTGATTTGTATGTAGGATATGATGAGCGACTTTTAGCAGAGTCTTCTTGGGATTTAACTACTTCTCAGACACCTTTTGGTGCTTTACAACTAGTGTTGCCGTGGCTCGGCTAGCCGCAAGCCAGCTCGCTGAACCGGCGGCTTTTGCCGGTTCCGGTTTGTGGATCACTCGAAAGCTGATCAAGTCCGGTTCGGCTCAGCTTAGTCAGTGGCTTTGAACCGGTTATAGCTGGTAAATGGTTGCCGCAATTGATGACTCACGCATTAAGTAGAATGAGGTTAAATTTGTAATAGAATTTGAGACAAATGCATTTTGTGATAGGTAAAATATATTGAACAAGCTATCAATCCTCGTCATCCTGTCCAATAACGTGAATTACCTCATCAATATCTATACCATCCTCCGTAATTTCTGAAGTTAGCTTCCCTAACAAATCCACTGAATCTTCGTTGTCATCTGTGTAGTACTCGAGTTCGTCTTCTGTGACAGCCCATCCCTCCATAAAGTTTAGCCGTTGCTGCTTGAGCGAAAACTTCAACATTTGAAGCGCCTCCATTAGAACAGGGTGGATTCGATTTCGCCGCTTTGTATCAGTTTCGGCACTGGATGAAAAAACGCGCTCGGAAGGAACCGAGGATGCTTGAATGGGCAAATAATCTAATGCCATCGCGTACAATATCGGATGAGTTTTATCGCTTATCTACAAAAAAATCAGTGGGGCAAATTAGAAAATAGTGAGAGACTATACTTACCGCCTAAAACCCTACAAGATCTGTGCCACGCGGTGAGAGCGGCCCATTTTCGTACAACTCAAATTGTTCTTCAACGCCTTGGACCTGCTGCGAGGAAGCACCTGTAACGTCCATCATATCTTCCAGCCCGTATTGTCCAGCTAAATCATGCCAGCTTCGCCTCTGTTGCTGCGAGGCTGCTGTACCGGGTGTAGGTTGTTGAACTTGTCCATGAAGACGGTCATGGTATTTTCGCATCTGCAACAAGTATATTAGGTTACTGTCACCATAACAAACTGAGACACTTACAGTATTTTTTATAATTACGGTGGCCCTGGCAACATAGTTAGGCTCCCAGTGTCGTCGAATCGTATTGAGGGATTGAGAACTGATGATGTCAAGTTATTGAGTGATTGAGAACTGATGATGTCAAGTTATTGAGTGATCTATGCATTTGAACCTTAACTCACACATTGCAATAACGTAGGCAGGCGAATCATCCATTTTCTTGTAGTAAGTTGTCGCCCAGTCGATACCAATTAACTATATATATATAGGTCATTGGGGATATGATTGAAGGATTGGGATGAGTTGACATTCTGCCACTTATGAATAGTTGTGTTTGATGTCAGGTCCATGGCTGTTTTCCACACTAAGCCACTATCCTATCTTTGATGTTGGTTAACCTTCCACTCAGATCAGTATCTGCTGTCCTATGTCTGACCACAGTCAATCTTCACATGATTTTTTTGGAGTGATAATTCTCTGTGCTACCAATGCAACTTGTCATGTCTTTCAATACC